TGACTATGGGACGTTACCAATATTTGGTAAAATAACAAATAATCAGCTAGTTCGTATTACCTCGCAGACGTTGTTCGGATTACGTGTGAATGTGATTTTAATTTATTAAATATATAAAATAGGTATATTATATATATAATATATATAATATATATTTTTTTAACTTGTTAAGGTAAATTAATTTCCAAAAATTTAAGTTATGTTTAAAGTTAAAAGTTCTTTTTTTTATTTAACTTGTAAAAGTTATTATTAGTTGGAAAAATTAAGAAACTTATAATTATAACATCTGCTAACGCTTAACAAATAAAATACAGTAATCCCTCGCTATCCGCGGTTTCGATTATCCGTAGTTGGGTCCACGATAACATATTTTTAATGCGATTGCGATAACGTTTTACCGTTATTACACGAACACTGTAGAAATTTATTTTTGACAATAATTGTAGATAATTGTTGTTATATCGCTATAGGTATAACACATATACATTATACATACTTATACTTATTGCAGATAAAACACAAAAGTTTACCTACATCTGCACGATTAATAATCGTCAACTGCTCAGTTGTAAGATGATATTTGTGCGTGACACGTGTACAGCAGTGTTTAATAAATTTAGTAGTGAAAATATTTTTAAATGACTCAATGTAAAATGTCAATAAAAAGGAGAAGAAATGTTTTATTACTCGTTCAAAAAATTGAAATTTTGGACAAATTAAAAATGGTGATACTGTAGCGTCACTTGCTAGAACGTAAAAAATGAATGAACCTAGTGTTCGAGAAATACGTAAAAATTAAGAAACAATACGATACATTATAAATAAATTAGTTGTAGAAATTAAAAATTATTAATTGATTAATAATTAATTTTTAAAATTAAAAAAAATTAAACCTAACCTCCCTTTTTACATCGATTTATGGTCTCGTTATCCGTGGATTCGCTATCCGCGCAAGTTTGCTGGAACGTAACCTCCGCGGATAATGATGGATTACTGTAATATTATAGGTCATTTACATTAAAAAAAAAAAAAATACATGTTGCTATAGGCACTTACAAAATTTGCACATTGTGGTCCAGAAACCAGCGTATATTTAATAAATAATAATCTACCCTCTTATTGTAAATACGATTAATTATTTATTATAGTTTGAATTGTTTTCATCGCTACCACCGACCAATTTATCACTCTAATTTCAACTAATAAAAATAAATATGACAAATAAATTTTATTTAATATTAATTAATGAGTTTAAAAAAGCATTTGGGATATTGGGTTTGGATGTATGTTTTCCTTTTCTCACTTGACATTTTTTAATTTGTATTAACCATCAAGTACTTGTATTTATACACGTTATTTTAGAAAAATCCAGACAATTATAAATGTATAAATGGACGACAGGAGTCTCTTTATTTTTTTTAATTTTAGAATTACTCATAGTGTTATTTTCAAAAGATGTTTCCATCTTGTAATTTATAATTGTTTCTAATGCTAAGGATAAAAATGTGTTATATTTAAATGATTAAAAACATTATTTTACAGTAAGGAAACAAAGTCTTGAAGTACAATAAAACACAATATGATGACAATTAGGATTTTAAGTAAGTACTTATTATACTTTTTACATTTAGCTTATATTTTCTAAAAATGCAGGGGATAGGTATGAAAAAAATTAATATACTTTTAAAAATAAAAATTAGTTTTTAATAATTCAGAAAAAGTGCAGAGATAAAGCATTAAACGATTTATCGATTTCTAGTTCATTATAATTAATTAAATAGGGATATATTTTTATAGTATAGATTAAAAAATGTAATAACATTTTTTTTTTTTTTTAAATAGGAACCTTTATCAATAAATATGAAATATAAGTGTTACAATAATATTTTCGTGAACTTAAATTCCTATAAGCAAATGTGCAATTAAATTTCATCTAGTAAAACATATTAATTTATTTCTTGGTCAAAAATAGTTCAAAATTATTTGACAAGTAAACTATTTGCTACTTACATAATATATAAGCTTAAGTGTTTTAATAAATTATTTCGTGGTCATCATATTTTTTCAAATAGCATAAAAACAGATTGGTCCATATTTTATATACTTATTGTATTTAATAATAGGTATTATATATATACTATGTATAGTTTTAGATACAGATGCATGCCAGTTCACATGCTTCAGAAATTGTATTTTATAAAACACTTTTGCAGTGCTTTGAAAATTTGAGTGTAGAAAGTGTAATTGAACTATTCTGAATTAACCCATTCATGCCCAAGGTTAAAAAAATGTTTAAATTAACTTTTTTCTAACTTATTTCTACTGTTGTTGTTTTTGAGAAACCAAAAAAAAAAAATAAAAAATAAATTTTTTTACCTATAGTTTGCTTGTTAATAGATGTCCTATATGTAGGACATTGGGAAAATAAGGTGTAATATACAAAACAAAATTATATGCTTAATATAATTATAATTGAACAACATAATTTCAACTGTTTACTTTTAAAATTGATAAATTATTAAATATTAAATTATTATAAGTCGCAATATGTCTACGAAAAGCCAAAAGGTCCATTGATTTTTCAGTATGGAGTTTATGCAACTGCCAAGCATTCTGTACAGCCAAATCAATAGAGTATGATACTATACACGAGTACCATTTTTTACCACGAATGGAAATTCGATATTGAGAAACATTTTGATTCATACGATCAACACCACCCATATTTTGATTATATAAATGTATAAGTTGTAGTTGTGGTAATCTTATACTTCTTTTATGCGAAACAAACCATCTTTTTGCGGTTATGACTGGCTCAACTCCAACATTATTGGATACTATGGTAACAGTGCTATTGTCCTTCCATGCACATACCAAAATACCCGAATCAGAAACATAACTTTCGTACGAACCTCTTTCTTTTTTTTTCATTGCAGCCAAGTTTATTGGGCATTTCTTTGTTCTATTTGAACGTATTGTACCTGTTCCATATAAATCCATTTCACTCAACTTTTCTAATAAAGTCAAACCAGTGAAAAAATTGTCAAATACCAAATGATATGGAGCTATACGGTGTGCCAATAAATTATTTGCATATGATATGATAATTGACGCACCCAGACCATACTTAGTATTTTGAAGATCACCACTTTTTCCTTGATAGGGAGATATCCAGACTACATAGCCTAATCTCAGTGTCCCAACCCAAATTTTGAAACCAAATCGAATAGGCTTGCCCCTTATAAACTGTTTGCAGCCATGTCTGCCGAAGTATGGAACCATTGATTCATCTATACCATGAAATTGTTGATGTGGTGTGTGTATCAAAAATCTTGAATTTAGCATGAAAAGTAGTGGTCTTATTTTGGAAAATTTGTCATGCTCGTCAAGCTTGCTATTATCACAGAAATGAATATATGAAAAAATTTGCTCAAAACGATTTCGTCGCATAGCACCTGACACTAAGTCGTTATGGGTAACTGGTGATTTTTCCCAGTACATGTGTCTTCGTGATAATTCATTATAACCTGATAATAACAAAATACCTAAAAAACACTTTAGTTCGTTTACATCAATTTCAAGTGATTGGTTTTTATTAGATGCATAATTATTTGAATAACCAACAATCATTTCCAACACTTGTTGGTCGAAAAATAACTCAAACAGTTCATAGGGTCGTAACGTATAAAATAAATTAGGTTTTTGATCATCAACAAAAATATTTGGAGTTTCGAGATCTCCCTGACGCCATAATACAGTTTGTTGAGCATTTTGGTTTTGTTTTGTTATTTTATTTTTTGGCCGAGATGAAATGTTTTGTTTTATTTTCTTTCGTATTTTTTTACCACTTACTTTATGGTTGTTTTCTACTTCTGTGTTCTCTGTATCAGGATCATCTTTAGTAAGCTAGCTGGCATGTGGTTTATATCACCTATCGGTCCATCATCATCGCTGTCTTCATCAGTGATGTCATTATTCACATTTACTGGTGGCTCCATAAATATATCAGTAACATCGTCTAAAATATCATCGATATCCCCTTATTCTAGTAATTTAGTTACTTCGTGAAAAGTTAGTCGTCTATAAAATTGAAAAATAGTTATATATTGTATTTATAACTAATAAAAATATATTTTATCATATTTATGTATGGTAATATAATTTTAGTAACTGATGTATCCAGTGTCCTTCATTTAGGACACTATGTTTGGTATGCTAATAAATAACTAAATATAAATAAAATGTATACCACAGTTCGTAAAATATGTTTACCATACACTACTAGTTTTTGTGAATGTGTATGCAAATTATAGATAAACAAAATAATTTTTACTTACTTTGAAAATGATGCCATGGTGACTGAAAAATACACTGCTGTACATAAATTGTTTTATAATAAAACTATCAGTTCTAATGAACGAAATAATTTTTGTTATAACAATACACTGTCACGTAGTAGATAAGAACAGATTGGGGAAAATAATTCTAAAAATAGATTAGATAACGATGCGATAAACCGGTGTCCTACATATAGGTCACTGGGCATGAGTGGGTTAACTTCAGCGTTTTCAGCTAGGTGATTTTTTTTATATTTACCACTTATTGTTTTACCCCTTAGAAATTGAATTTTGAAAATCCTTTTTTTCCTTTTTTGTATATATATATTTCTTTTTTTAGTAACATGTTACCTATAACTACTGAGTATTTAAGTTTTTAATGAGTAATAAATTACAAACTTTGATGCAAACATAGTAAAAAAAATTATCTAATATTCGTTCTGCTTACAATGTTTCAATTTTTTCGTTATAATTCGTTTCATTTATTTATTTGTTACTCTTTAGCTAACCGTAATTTAATGTCATTTTATATGATACTTAAGTATAATAAAATTTTACTATGTTTCAGTGTTTATTATTGTTGGCATGTATATATTTTTCATGGCTGAGGGTATTACTTGCAGACCAATAGCAAATTGCAAAAACTCAAAACAAAATGGGTATTTGATAACTGACTGTCGCAATTATAAAGGACAAACGCTTAACTCAATACCTGGCAACTTAATGCCAGAAGTTCAGGTTTGTTGAATGTTTGATGTACATAATAATATAAAACTAAATTTGACTGATATCTAATAAATAAATGTACCACATACTCATACACTTGAATAAAATTAATGATGGTTGTCGATTTTCTTTTCCATTTAAATGCGATCAATACAGATCTATTTAGACTGATTTGTCAAAGTAGTTTTAAGCAAACAATTTGACTGGAAAAACTGAAATATGAACGCGTTTTTTATTAATGTTATTGGAACAATTTGAGCATCTGGTAAACTTCAATTTTCTATTTCACGAGAAAATTTATATTCGTATATTATAGAATCAAGCCAAAAATAAAGCTCTATAAATGTCCATTATTTTTATATTACGTAGTAGGTACACACATATGTGTAAACATTTGGGCTAGATCCCCCGTAAAGTGTTTTGCAGCCGATATTTTAACAATGCGATTTATCTTAATTTTTCTACGGCCGCTCGGAGCTCAACGAATGTGTTTTTAACTAATTATTCAATCATTAATAGAAACACTTCTCAACACGAAAAGCTGCAAGAACATTTTTTTTTTTTTTTAGTAAATATTTTTATTAATTACAGATTACTGCATAATAACTGAATATAATTTACTTTAGGAATCTAATAACTTTTACTATAATTGTTTTGGGTGGTTCACTTGTTTCTGTGCACCATAGCACCATAGCTGCCACTGTCTCCTTATTTTTAAATTTTGTGTTTTGAAAAATACTTAACCATATCATAGACATAGTTTATGCACTGATAAAATTGTGGGTGAGTACCTCCAAAATGAACGTGAATTAAAATAACATTTTGTACCTACACATGAAGTGTAATTCATGTGCCATATTATGTAATATATTGCCTTATATATTGCCATATATTATATGATGCTGTGCGAGAATACGGCAATTTTTCTGTTAATTTCAAATCAGTTTTTTCATAAGATTAACGTAACATATTTATCACATATTTCGTGAAATATATATTTTATTACACAGTGTAGATAGATGTTTTATTGGGCGATTGTAAATTCCACCGATTCTTTTTTTTATACCTGAAAAAAATGTAAATTCCACCGGTACATATTTTTGATCGGAAAACACGTTAACTCCACCCATAGTAAAATCTACAGATTATATCTGATTTTAGTATAGTTACAAATCTACTTTCGACTGTATTATCTCAACGACCACAGATAGTATCATATACTCATATCGCGAAAATAATGTATTCGATAAAATATTTTCGAAGGCACATTTAGTGGAGTAGTCTAAAAATTTGGTTTAACGGAAGATTATAAAACAAAAATCGAAGTAGATGATTGGAAAAGAATTTGCTTTGGATTAGTGTTTCTGGACCCTGAAGATGTTTCAAATTTTTTTGCAATAGAATTAATGTCTATAAAGCCCAAAAACTCTAAACTTACACACAATTCTCAGATTATATTTTAGACATATGCATTACAGAAGAAGCATTATTTCCACCAAATATTTGGGCTCTATGTAGCGCTGAATTGAATTTAACTACGAATGCATGCGAGTCATTTCACTCACATTTAGCTCAATCTTTTGAGAACACACATCCAAATATTCATCACTTTACAAAAGCTCTATTAGATATTCAATCATTCACTTACATTAAATTAAATAGCATTACTGAACCTAATAAACTAATTATATTATATTGGGTACGTAAACTCACGCGATCACCCACCGAAACACAACGATTCGGGCGGTATCATTAGTTTAGGGCAGGGGCGTATTACAGGTCAATATATGGGGGGGGGGTTGATTAATTTTGCACCCCTATGCATATTGATAAATAAATATGGAAGCTGGAAGCAAGAATAAGAAAAAAACATTTTTTTCAACTTCAGATTTTTATTGAGTTTCAAACTTTATTGAAGGCTTGATGTACGGTTACAATCATAAATTTTTAATTTACAATTCAATTACATTATGTTATAATAAAATCAATGTTAATATAACCTACATGCATGAAATATAATATAGATACCTACATCCATAAATCATAATTCTTAGTTTTGTATCTGTTTCTATGCAAATATATGTAAATTAATATATTATTAATTATTACTTGTATAGTATACCGTAATAAATAGGGCTGGGATTTTGATGCAAATGCATCTTTTTTTCTAATGTCCCAACACATAGGTTCGTAAGACGAAAATGTGTTTTAAGTGATACTGAATAATTTAATGTAGTTTTTATTTTTCAATTTATGATACATTCAATGCTTGATTTGGCGAAATTAAAGAAGGGGGACTCTGTTTGGTTAAAAAAAAATTGCGTCCCCAAAACTTGTTAAGCGTTATAATTATAACGTATTAATAGTAGGGGGACGCTAAAATTTCTAAAAATTAGAAGGGGTACTTCGTCCCCCCTCAAGTCGAGCACTGGATACATTATATGTATTTCTAGAGAATAAGTTGCTGTTTTTAGAATATTTTTCAGAATTTATCTATAAGTTTTTAAATATTATGGTATTTGATTATGCGTTTTGGTATTTGTTCGCTTAAAACTTGCACGTTTAGTATGTAATCTATGAAATTGATAAACGAATAAATACGAGCATATTGATCAATGTTTCTATTTTATCAAAAATAGAACAAAATTAATATAGTCGAAAAAAATGTTTCTATTTACAAATATCTAACTACGATTATAACAGTAAGTTATGAAATAAATTAAATTTAAATAAAGTAAAATAAAATATAAATATTAAACAAATAAGCACCTATTTTGTTATTATTATGTTAAATAAATATAATTAAATATGTTTGGTAACATAATTTTTCTAATATCAATATTCTACTACTAGTATAACTACAATTTTTATGTATTTTTATGATTTTTAAAGTATTTTTTTGCGATCTTTAGAACCTTAAAATTTCAGCCCTAATAATAATAATAAGTAATGTAATGATTTAAACAACCTGCAAAAATACTGGTATGAATAAAAATATAATATTATTTCCATAACTTCCTCTTCCTTATCAATTTTTATAACTGTATCCATAAAAAAACCATATTTGTTAAAAAAAAAACATCTATATAATTTCATTATAATTAGACCCGGTTTTTCATTCATTCAATTATTCGCTAGATACGTATCTGTCGGATAAATTTATCTGGCGGATAATCTTTCAAATAAAATGATTCCGGTTTTTCAATGTAATTTTATTCTCCAGATATCTGACAGATAAAGTTTTCGGCAGTAAAATTATACTAATAGACATAAGCGTGCGCACGGGATAGTCATGGTAGGCACTTGACTACTCTGCGAACTTTCCTCTCACAATATTCAATATTATTACTTATTATTATGATAATTGATAATCATTTTATAACTTAGATGTGACTATGAATATATACGTAATATGTATATGTGTGTGTAATGTGTTAAATATGACTATCCTGCCAGGAATTCTGTGCACGCTTATGCTAAAAGAAGGTAGTTACTGTTCATTATGGAACAAGTTACACATATTTATTTGATTATGATTGGTCAATGATGAAATTGAGGAATCATTTGGTGATATTGACACATTATTTATTGTAATACTGTATGTAATTACTAATCAATAATTATTAATTTTGTTGCGTGTTGAGTGTTGACTCTCGCTCGATATAAGTTATATTCACTTCTTTTTTCAATATGTCTCAAAAAAACATATCCAAAAAACAAACAAATTTCATATTTTATGAAAAAGAACTTTTATTGAAAAATGATCTACAAAACCGTCACGCATTAGAAAATAAAGTGTTAACTAATAAATTACGAACAACATTTTTTCCAAGTCTGAATCTCATCCTAAATTCATGGTCATCTCCGCCAGCATATGTTTTATTCTTTCGTATACAGAGTACAGACGACGTCAATAGTTCAAATATTTAATTGTTTCATAATCATCCTCTTCAAATAAATACATGTATATTGAAATTGAAATTGTGTATATATATATATACATATATATTTAAAATAATATGAAAAATTATGATAACTAACCATTTTTATGTTATCAGCTGTTAATTATCCGTCGAATAAGATTTATTTGATACAAAAAGTAACGGATAACTTATCCGTAACAATATCCATCGAATAAGGTCTATCCTGAGATTGAAAAAACTGAAATTTATCAATTTTTTCTTATCTGTCAGATAACTCAAGTTATCTGACGAGTAAATGTGATTGAAAAACCGGGCCTTAATCATATTTTGATATTTGTTATTCATATTTGTATCTATTGATTCTGATTGATTATTACTTAATATTATATATTATCATATAAATAAATTACCTAATAGATATTACTTTATATAAAAAAAAAAAGTTTTAAAATTTGTGGCGATATATATACAAGTATTTATCCTGCAACGTGAAACAGTGCGTTTCTGCGACCGTTGCTAATTAATAAATACGCCGAGTTATTAACCTCCATATAATGTGATTATAATATTTTACATGTATTTATATAAACAACTGTATGGAGGGAAATATTATTAAATCCATCGACGAACATACGGCATCGTTAAATTATTTATAAGCATAATGAGCGCAATGTACTACACAGAGTGTTTACTACAAATGCAACTGAATAGTATAAACGTTATGTATACATAAAATCAGTGACAACACAAAAATTAATTTTTAACCAACCAGTCCTGAGCATTATTTTAAAGGCCGGCCTTTAAGTATAATATTGATAAGAATCGGCCAACAAAGATCCTAGAGTCGAGAGCGATTAGGATGTATTGATGGCTGAAGTATTAAATAACGCATCTTCTCTAAAAAACTTCTATTGTATAGTTTATGGCACCCAATCTTCCACCAATTTTGATCACCGCGAACATAGTTTCGATGAAAAGTGTATTTTTAGTGTTTCACTTGACTGCAATAGTATAATGTAAAGAAGTGAATAATGCATAATATAATGTAAATAACGTTAACGCCGTGTAAATTTTTTTTTTTAGATTTTGAAGTTGCAAGAAAATCGCATTGCCAAGCTGACCAACAGCAGCTTCGACATCTACCCGAATATCAAAGAGTTGCTGCTGTCGGACAACGTATTGCACACGATCAAGCCCGGGTCGTTGTCGGTGCTGAACGAGCTGGAGCTGCTGGACCTGTCGGGCAACGCGTTGCATGAAGTACCGGTTGGGTTACCCGCGTCGTTGGTGCACCTGAACTTGAACAAGAATCCGGTCAAGCGTATTGAACAGTTGTCGAGCGCTGTCCGGCTACAGGTGCTAAAGCTGAGCCGCTGCGACCTGGCCCAGTACCCGGCACTGGGTGTGATGCCCAACTTGGTCGAGCTGGACGTGTCCGACAACGAGCTGTTAGAGGACCTGGACTCGGATAGACTGGCCGTCACGTGTCGGCTGTCCCTGCTCAACGTGACGGGCTGCACAGCGCTGTTCCGGCGGCCCGAGTCTCGTTGCCGGTGCCTGCGTGTCGTTGAATGGACGCGCACGTATAAAATCCACGTGTTGGGCATGCCACCATGTCCGGTCGCGCACGGTGGAGGAATAGCAGACAACTGCACCGCGGTTGCGGCCACGAACGAGACGCGGGCCGTTTTCAAGAAATGCATGATCGAGTGGGAGCGCCGGAACACACCTTACTGGGCCATTGGCCTGGGGCTGCTCATCGCAGTGGCCGTATTGCTGCTGTTGTGCGTTCCCATACGCTGGTGGAAGCGACGCTGCCACGAGGACATGATGCAGAGTATGCCGGTCACTGACACCAAAGAGAACATCGAATCGACCGCCATCGGCAGCAAGTCCGATCCAGCTGCGCTACTATCATCCCCGTAACCATTGTGACTCGTTCAGTCTGATAATTTATATTATATTTTTTCCCCCTCATTTTAATATTAAAATATGATGCTAATAACCATTAGTATAATGGTATGTTTTATATTTTTGTTAAATGTAATATATTGAAAGCAATTTAAGACATTTATCGGCGTTAAGTATTATAATTTGTATTGAATATTTTAAAATCTTCAATGAGTGTAAAAAGATATGCTGATTTTCTTGTAAAACTTACCTACCTTGTAGTTTTTAAATACTGGTTTCCAACAGCAGTAAAATATGGTTAGGCAGTGGCGTATATCCTAATTTTTTTTGTTTTGCTCAATATTTTTTAAAACACCCACCCACCTCTTATGAATATTATAATTATAATTAAATTAATATATACTTAAAAAAATTTAAAATAAGCAATTTTTGAAAATATAATTACTTTTTTAGAGAAAAATTAGAAAATTGTAATCCAACAGTTTAAAGAACAAAATATTATGTCACTTCTATTTTAAAATTGACTTATTTATGTATACCTTAGTATATACATAAAAATTAAACAATAACTAATTAGTAAAAACACGTTATTCTTTTTTAGTACATAGTTTTTTAGATTTTGGGGGGATAATATCAAAAATGTGAAATAGAACAGGTCTATAATCCTATGTTGCGCGCGTGTTAGACAAAGACAAAAAATCACCACTTCCAATCCCCTTAACTATATCAGTATATTAATAGTACCTAACGTGGGGTATACTATTATGCGTAAATATAATATATAACAATAATTGGTTATTAATATTTGTTGTTTAATATATACTTGTAGTCTGTTGAGTCTTCGGAGCAACCTATATCTCAAGTTATAAATTATATCAACGACGGAGAAACCACAGATATCGATGGAACACAATCAGAAATATCTACTGTTGAAAATCAAAATGTAACAGTCACAGAAAAATCGAATATAACACGACCTCGAAAATCTGATAATAAAAGAAGTTATAGCCAAATTGGTCAAATAGAAAATTCTATTAATAAACTTGAGGCTATAAGTAATTCATGTAAAGAAGACGATGATGAATTTGAGTTATTTGCCAAAAGTATTGCTGTTCAGTTGAGAAAAATGCCACTCGATAGAGCCTTCGTTTGTCAGGAAAAGCTAATATGTGTTATGAAAGAAGAACGTTTATACCAACAAAGATCGCAAATATATGTTTACATGCCAAAATCATCTCCAGATTTATTTTCTGAACAGTCAATGTCTTCATCGTGGTCAGATATAAAAAATAGATCTCAAGCAGAAACATCAGCTGATATTTTAAGTAGAGCAATAAGTAATTCGTTGTTATAATTAATTTTGTGTTTAATTACATTTTCGCTCATATTTTGTTACATATTTAGTTACATATTCATTTAAAAATATTTAAAGAAGGAAAATTATTATATTGTTTTGTTTAAGGTATGAGTATAATTTTAAAAGACTTAAGATTGAATACTTAATAAAATTATTTAGTTAAGAATATCTCACCTTTATATACTCGCTTAAAGATTCACAAATTAATGCACAAACTTCTGGAAGAAATATGGATATGCTATTTTTTGGTATTCTATATAATGCAGCAAGCGAAGAAAAGCAGTCTTCCGTAGCTATATATAACAAAAAAATACAATAACAATAATAATAATACATAAAGTTTCTTAAATTAAAATATTTGCCTAAGTATCGAAGAGTAATTTCCAACTTTTACGCGCTGGTAACGCAGCTCTCAAAACTGTATCTTGCCTTTGAATTTTTGTAGAAATCCGATATAGAAGTACTTCAAATTGATCTTTACTCAATCTTAAAATGATTTCTGTACCAATCTACGTCGTCTGTTGAAAATTCTTTTAATAAACGTTCACTTGCGCCCAACGTATCACGTCTTGAAATCCATTTCCTGACCCACAATCTTCGTGTTTTTTTATTTTTAAGTTGTTTTAATATATTCTGAAGTTCTTTTGATATTTGAACACATTATAATCTAACTCTGGTTCGTATTAAAGATTTTTGTGAATTCGCCATCGAAAAATATTACAATAAATAAATACAAGTAGGTACAAAAAGATATGTGCGATGATGCGATGACTATTTATTAAGAATGTCCAATTAAATATTATCATTTTTATTGAACCATGTGAACGATTAGTTCAGTAAAAAGGATCGTCAATAGAAATTAATCAGTCATAATGAACATTTTTACTGACACGTGTGAACCCAGCTTAAGAGAGGTGAAGAGTGAAAATTCCCAAATGCGACGGGAAATGTAAAAAAAAAAAAATTAGGGAAATATGGTAATTTTTGCGCAAAACCAGTTTTCTACAAAATCGATTTTTTTATTTAGCCGTTACTCAGAAACCAAAAATTGTAAATACTTGAAATTTTCACCAAATGATTATATTGGAATAATCTATACGTGGTACAATTTTTGAAAACTTTTAACTTTTTTGGGCTTTTTAAAGACAATTGAAATTTTCAACTTTTCTTAGTTTTTTTTCTGAAATGTGGATGAAAAAAATTTCTTTGCATAATTTTGCTATTACAGGCAAAGAAATATCTGATTATTCTTAGATTTTTTTTTTTTTTTTTTTATAAAAGTTGATGAAATGTTGAATCAGCCAAAAAAAACTTGAAAGTGTAATAGAAGGTTTTACATAAGTTGATCTAAGACTAATTAAAAAATGATTCAAATACATAGACACAATTTTCTTTCATAAGCAGTTGAAGTTCAAAAACTGACAAAAGTTATCGAAATCACGAATATTTGCAAATTATTTTGTAGTTTAAAATGTATAAAAATGTGTATTCAAAGCTGTAATTTTTACAAAATCAAAAATTCACTCGTTAAATAACGGATTACTATTAACGTACACTGACAAATCATCTGCGTTCAGAATAGTTCTTTTTTTATATCATTTAAAATAATCCCAAAATCTATTCTAAAATGCCTAACCTATTAATTTATCTCGTGCATCCCATCCAACTCTTGTATAAGCTCTTTTTACAATTTTTTTGACTTGAGTATATTACAGTCAACTGATAAATACTTAATAATATTTTAAACATGTTTGTAGATTGTTCGAGTGCTTTAGTGCATCATAAAACGGTCTACCACCAAATTTATTTGTTTCAGTAAAGATAGTTCAACAATAATAAATAATAAATTAACAGTAAAAAATAATAATAATAAATTTATAGTATTTACGTTTTAGCAGTGCCCAGTGCTAACCGTAAATTCGAGAACCGAAAACCGATAACCACTTTTAATTTTGGAATGCTGGAAGCGATTATTGGTTATCGGTAATCAAGGTAAATATCAAAATATTTCAAAATATTCCCGGTTTTATAACCAAAACCTATTCCCAACCAAAATAATTAACGGTTTTTTCGTGGTAATAATACTTGAATTATGTCATGATTACATTATTCTATTATAATTTAATTTAATTTTGCAGCTATTTTTAAATATTTTTCCCCAATTAATAGCCGTCGAATATTGCTTATCTGTTGTGTATGTCATATATATATATATACAGGTATAATTATACATTATAATTACCGTCATAAACGTCGTCGTCGTGGTACGCTGATTCCTATTACGAAATAGCTGGTGGAATAGAGGCTTAAGCCGGTGACACACATGAGAAATTTGTTTCATAAGATTTATTTCGTGAAACAAGAAATTTATTTCGTTACTTGAAAACGCGTGTATTTAAATGGAGCAACACACACTGTTGTTTCCAAAACGTTATCGCAAAAATATTTTGTAAACAAGTTTCATGAAACCAAACGTGTTTGGTTTCATGTGTAATTGTTTCGTCATTTCACTATCAACTCCCGCGCAGTTAACGATTGTAGGTCAACATACAACTGCTCATCCTTCAGATTCTTCGTGGGTACCAAAACGTAATAAAAAAAATAAAAATGATGACATTGGTAGAGAGTTAATAGGGATTTTAAACAATTAGAAACTAAAAATGTTGGAGACAACGAAGATCGTCTTTTTTTCATATCTTTGGTAAATGACTTTAAAAAAATACCAGAACACTTGCGCATGCAAACGAAATTGTACGTTTTAAAGGTCATTCAAGACGCTCAGAGGCAAAATTATCCAAATACATGGGACTGGAATACTCAAAATAATCCACATCGTGGACCTTATTCGGCACAAATGAGACATCATCCTTACAACCATACGCCAATTCACATATCTATACCCGCAACTACCCCACATCACGAAACTGCCATAAATAATCAAACACTATCACCTCTCACAAATGTAGACTCAACGAACACATACGAATCTCATGAAAGTGAAACTTCTTATATTGACCTATTTAATTCAATTTCATAAAACAATGATATTATGTTAATTATAATGATAATATAAAAGTAAAAATGTTAAAATAATAATAATGATGAGCGTGTAGCTACTTTTTTGTAATCGTGAAAATTGAAAAATTATAACATAAAATTTAAAAATAATTTAGTTTTTTTATTTACCGGAGTACAATGGTTAACTTTTCTTCAGGCTTAATACTTTTTCGGAATCGTGTGTCTTCCTTCGTTATTGATGTTCTTAAAATCCTCAATAATTCTTCAAATGATTTTAAACTCATTCTCATGTAACCAAAAAACTTGTCTTCATATTTTTGAGGTTTTCAAAAAATATATCAAAATGCCTGGTTTCATATTTGGTTTGTAGGAAAGGATGTATCCAGTATTTTTTTTTCTTTTTCTTTTTCATGTAGCGATTGTAGATGTAATAAACAGCAATCACTTCTTCAACGTCCATAGTTGAAATGGAGTTGTTTAAAGTTGTTTTTAGCATTACGGCTACCCGCTGAACCAACCGTAAACTGCGGCCAACCGGACGGCTAGCCGCATTGCGGCAACCGCATAGTGCATATGTAGCCTTAGGTTTCCAAATATGGAATGATCATACAGCGGCGGATTAGCCCACCGAAATACCGGGAAAGTTCCCGGTGGGCCGCTAGTCGTATTATAACAC